CCACCTTGGCCTCCCAGAGTGCTAGGATTACAAGTATGAGCCACTATGCCCAGCTTTTCTTGACATATTTATTTGAAGATGATATAATCAGAATAAATAGCTTATTGAACAGATGGAAGACAAAAGCACTGGAGGTTAGTGGCACTGCACCACATTTTCAAAAGGTGGAAACCAGCTGCACATTTAGTTAGTGGCACCAGCTGCACAGTTTCAAAAGGTGGAAACCACTTCTTACAATTCTGTTTCTCCTAGATCATCAGATAAAGTAGAAAGCACTTCATGAGTGACAACCTATTGATTAATTTGAAAAATATAAACTGTGTCTTAATAACCCTTTTCAAAAGATTGTGTTCTTCAATGAATTGAAGTTAACAGGACCAGTTTCCCTCTAAATCTATGGTTAAAAATAAAGGCAGTGGAGGAACCTAACTGCTTTATAAAACGAAGCCACATTTAAGATCTACCTGAGTAGATTCATGAAATTCTCCTTATTTTCTCACTTCATAAACTTGGACGTCAAGATGTCCTTGTGTATAAAAAACTATTGAATGTTGTATTGAATTTCAGGAAAGAAAAAGACACGTTCATCTTGTATTTCCTGTCCCTCATCTTGTTTAGTGGCCAAGTGGTATTAATAGTTAATCTTACCTTAAATTTCCCATCTGAAGAGAAGATGCTGACCCATTTATTATCATAATCTGCAATGATTATGTCCCCACTGGGATGCACAGCTACTCCCGTGGGCCGCTGCAGCTGCCCAGGAGAGCGCCCTCTTATGCCAAAACGACTTTTGAACTGCCCATCATTGGAAAATATCTGTAAGACAGATCACATTCATTGGAATAGGAACTAGCACGGGAATCGTTGAGGAAGAAATAAGCAAAAACATTTGTCTTGTACACTACAGGTCAGAATTAGCAAACTACTTGAAGAAAGTATTGTATATACACATAAAGTTTCTTTCCTTGCACCATGTATCTTGTCTGAAGTAGGAAATGATGCAATGATACCTATTTTACCAGTGTAAGTAGTTAAAGGTATATAATTAGGGGTTATACCTGCACACATTGGTTGTTACTGTCTGCAATTAGTATCTTTCCATTGGTAGATGCAGCTACCCCCTGAAGATTTGTAAACTCTCCTTTATTTCTTCCTTTGGTACCTAAAATGAATAAGACCACAGAAATTAAAGCACTACAGAATTAGGTTGCTCAGTTTAGGGAGGAGAATAATTCAGGCTTCCATGGG